AGAGGTCAAAGTATCAATAGGAGTTTGGAAGTTCATTCCAACCCATGAATGACTTTGATGGATTCAACACTCCAGGGAGGAAGTAACTGCAGATGTGGTGGAAATAACAAGAGAACTAGAATTACAAGTGGGGCCTGAGGATGTGACTGAATTACTGAAATCTCATGATTAACCTCTAATGGATGAGAAGTTGCTTCTTATGTATGAGCACAGAAAGTGTTATCTTAACCCCTAGAGTGCCGGGGAGTGCGATTGCGCTTCTCTTATCTTTCGCCAAACGTGCTGGGAGCGCTATCAAAGCTTCGAAATGGCGTCCAGTTCTAAGTTTGCTTTTATTAGTGATGATGATATTGCTAAATATGTCAATGTAGTAAAGGTTTCCTTAAGTTTTTGAATATGTAACTTCATTTACTTGTGATTCATAATTTTTTTCCTAAACTGCTGTAAAATCAGAAAAAATGCTTGGCAATTTTAGCATAGTTCTTAGGATATTGGTTGGTTGGCACTCAAAGGGTTAAGATGAATTCCACTCCTGGTGAAGACTGCTGAAATGACGACAAAGGACTTAGAATCTATAATAATAAAAGTGTAATATGCAAATCGACCAAACGACCGAAATGCAGAAAGACCGTCCGTCCAGATGACCTTCCAGATGACCATGCTATGACATGCACTGGCACCAGGCCAGCAAAGGCGGATATGATAGGATGGGTCGGGCGGCCCTGCCATCGCCCCAAGATTGCCTTGCAGAGGGAGGCCCAGGCCACTGGTTAGTGGTGCTATGGCGGGTGTGCGGGGCCAGCCAGTGATCACCTTGCATAAGGAGGCCCAGGCCAGCCAAGTGATTGTACCCCATGCCTGTCGCCCGTAGAAGGAGGAAACCTGTGGCGGGGGAGGGGGGACAGCGCCACAAAGTTGGCAAGCAGTGGCAGCAGCGGGGGCAGCCGGCAGCCAGGGGAAGGAAAGCCCCGGTAGACCCTGATAGCCGGCCAGGCCTAGGGACCCTATCCAAGGGGTCCCGGGTTGCGAGAGGGCGCAGGCTGGGCTGAGGGACAGACACAGACAGACACACACACACACACACACACACACACACACACACCCATGCACAAATTTTGTGCACCGGGCCTCTAGTATTAAATAAAATTAATTGATAAAGCAGTGGCAGGGTATGAGAGGACTGACTCCAATTTTGAAAGAAGTTCTACTGTGGGTAAAACACTATTAAACAGCATCACATGCCACAGAGAAATTGTTTGTGAAAGGAAGAGTCAATCATTGTGGCAAACTTCTTGCCTTATTTTAAGAAACTGCCACAACCAACCCCAACCTTCAACTACCACCACCTTGATCAATCAACAGTCATCAACATAGAGACCCTCTAACAGCAAAAAAAATTACAACTCACTTAAGGCTCTGATAATGCTTAGCATTTTTCAGCAACAAAGTATTATTTAATTAAGGTGTGTACAGTATATATTTTTAGACATAATGCTATTGCACACTTAATTATAGTGTAGTGTGAAAATAAATTTTATATACACTGGGAAACAAAAAAAACACTCATGTGACTAGCTTTATTGCAGTATTCGCTTTACTGCAATGGTTTGGACTTAACCCACAGTGTCTCCAAGGTATGTCTGTACTGAACAATGGACACATGAGAGAAAATTACCTGAGGCCGGGAAAGAGCAAGAGAAAGCAGTAAGCCAAACAATTCCCAAATCTCACTTAGGGGTGGGAACCATTCATATTCCCACCAGCCAGAGGAGAAAGCCCTCTTACTACACAGAACATCATGTCCTCAGAAGTTCTTAGTAATTGGACTAAACTGGCCATTAACCACAGGTTGCTCTGAATCTGTCCTAACAAAGCTTAAAGGCAAGGCTTAAAAGGATCAAATTGGTTACAATAACTTAACTGTACAACAGAAGAAATCTAACACTATATAAAGAAATTCAGCACCCAACAACATAGAATTCACAATCAACAGACAAAGAAACTGGTAGCTAAAGGTCAGAGATTGGAAGAGAACTTACAAACTATATATCTTCAATTTTATCTCTTTTCAATTTTATACCTTGTATATATAATATACAATCAAAAGTTATTAAAATAAAAATAATTAAAAAGTCTAAAATGTAAATTATTTGTTACTTTCAAAATAAGGAGTGAAATTCTGTATTCTGTATTAGTGTCCAACCAAATAGATACGAACAGAACAGGGAGCTCTTGTAGCTGAGATCTATCTAAACAGCCCTGCCATGTGTCATCTCCAGATGCTAAGTGCTACTGAAAATCGGGAGTAAAAATTCCAACTTCCATATGGGTAATGTTCCAAAAGTGTACTTTAAGTCTATTATCTGGAACTCTGAACACATTTTCCCATAGAAACAATGGCAGGCTGGTCTAGAAAGGCCTATTTTACCCATGATGTATCTCAAGTGTAGTTCTCTACAAACAAGCGCTGTAGAAGCCCAAGCCAAAAAAAAAAATCTGAAGGAATATTCAGAATTCCCACTTGTGGAGGCTATCCACATGTCTTTTCCTCTGTAATCCTGACATTAGCAACAAGGACTCGATTCTGCTAGTAATCCCAAGAAACTCAGGTATTGCAAGAACCGAAAAGAAGTGAAGGCAAAGAGGTAAGCTGCACACGAACTTCTTCCTAAGTCCACACAAAACCTATGAAAGCTTCTCATCTTAGTTTCCTGTCCTTGGTTTACTTTGAGAAGCAAGACAACATGGTATAAGAACATGGGCTTTGGAGTTAGACAGGTTTAGGTTTAAATCTTAGCTGTGAAATTTACTGAACTGTGTGAGCATAGTCAAGTTAACTACCTTCACTGATTCTTAGTTTCCTTATCTATAAAATGGGGATCACACTTGTTGTTCAAGTTCATTTTAAGAACAGTCACAAACTACAAACAGTACCAACTACAGTGGTAGACTCATAGGTTCATGAAAAATGAAAGCTGATGTTTTTCTGCTGTTACTTCTGAGGACCTCTGAGATTCTGGCCTGCTCTTCCTTCTACTAGCAGCACCTGTCCCTTGAAACAGAGCACTCAACCCCTAAGAGTCTCCTAAAACTATGATTAACAGAAGTAACATAAAACAAGGGATTACATGTTCCTCTTTCCCCACTCATACAAATGAGGGGAAAAACTACAAACAAATGAATATATCAAGCAAACATTTAGAGGAACCGAAGTCAGTGAGTTTTAGTGATTTCATCATGCAGACTGACACCAAGGGAGCAGCAATGGTAGGTTTGGGAGAACAGTAGAAAGTTGCAAGATTATGAAAACTGCTCCTTTCCTCTCCCTCCTTTCACCCACATCAGTAGCAAAACCTACACCCATAGCAAGGTGAAAAGCAAAAATGAGAGGGCCACAGTGGCTCCATGAAGTAACCGATGACTTACAATGAAAAGGAAATTTCAGTACAGAAGCTTTTAAATTAATATACAAGATCTGGAGGGAGAGGACTATAAAGATTCACTCCATCTAAGCCCAAAGAAACATCTAAATTGGGGTAGTTTTTACTGCATGCTGAAATATTTTTATAAGAATTACTCAGGAGAAACAACAGAAAAATGGGATTCACTATCCAATTTTCCATATTTGCTTTCTAAAATATAAAATACATCTACTATAAGAGCCAAGGTTAAAAGAAAACCAAAGAAAAAGCTCTTTGGCAATTCAAGTCACATCAAATTAAGTCTCCTAATATATAGGAAACAGAACCACTGGCCTGGAAGGGATATTTAGAGGCAGCTCAAGTTTCCAACAAAATTTAAACCTAAAAGAACCAAAATAGTTAATGACTGGCCTCCCGTAGGAGCCTGTTCATATACTAAATCACTGCTGGGCATCAAACAGTACTGGATATTCAGTGACAGGTAAAATACAAGAAAGGATTTACACCCCAAAACTGATCAAATTCTCTCTCTGCAACTGAAGCATTTTCTCATCATCTTTTTTCCCTAGACAAGACATGACTGACAAGCATTCTATTAACCAAAACGTCTTGCAGACTTAAAGACAGTCATTAAAGTCATCTCTCAGAATTTGCTTTATGCTCATAGAGCATTTATTCAGAAATTGTATTCTTCACTTCTAATCATTTTTTTCCTATCTTGAATTCTCTAGGTTCCACACATCCCTCTTAAAACAGGATGCTAAAACTAGACTTAATATTTCTAGACAAGCCGTACTAAGGACAAGTATAATAAAAAGATTACTTAATAGTTCTAACAAGATTTGTTAATTGATCCAAATTCAGAGGAATTTAAGATACAGCAGTAAACGGCTGGTTTATTCAATTTAGGATGCATTATAAATTCCAGTTATTGTAGCTGTTTGCATGCCATGAGAACTCACTGAATTTGGACTGAAATAAAACAGGAATTTTCTGCATTGCATCTGTGCTCTGCACTGTTTCTTTTAATTAACTTTCATTATATTTTTAGTGAAATATGGAACTGAATCAAGACCACTATTAAATCTAAGCTTATATCTACCTTTTCTCTCATTTTTATAGCCAATAATCACAAAATAAACATTAGGTCTCCCATGATTCCTTATTTAGATAAACCCAATGACTTCTTGTCATCCTAGTATCCCCTAGATACCAAAGCAAATGCACAGAACAGTTGCCAGATTTATTTACTTAGTCTTATGCAACCAAATTAACCAAAAATATTTTTAATAGTTAAATGGATGTTTTAATGTTTTTATGAAATTTGCATTTAGCCTGGCTGGAGTGGCTCAGTTGATTGTCATCCTGTGCACCAAAAGGTTGCTGGTTCAATTCCTGGTCAATTCCAGGGCAATACCTGGGTTGCGGGTCTGAGCCCCAGTCAGGAAGCAAATGGAAGGCAACCAATTGACTGCAATCTGTCAGTCTGTCTGTCTATCTATCTGAGCAAGTCCGTGGGTGAGGATTTAAATAAAGAAATTTGCATTTAAATGTAAGATTTCAGAAAGATGATACAACCTGTGAGAGCAATTTCTTCAGAAGCTGTGCTATGGCAGGATCCTCAGGTGGAGGGCAATCAGGAAGAGACCCATTCCGTTTTTTCTGACGCATGTGAAGATGTCTGAACAAGCTAGTAATATCTTTAGACCTCAAAGCATAATCAAATATAGAACGACTTACTGGCTCTTTTAAAACACTGAGTAAAACAAGTTTTCTTTCAATCTGTATCAGAAAAATAAAAAGAATCAGTAAAAAATATAATATTTTGTTCAGTTCTTTTCAAATTCAACACAATTTATTTAAAGTTAACACAGGTATTTATTTTCTAAAAAAATGCAAGACATGAACATCTGCAGTTTTTGTTAAGAAAAAGGAATACTTGTGACTTTTAAAGAGCTCGGGTTTTTCTTCTTTTTATTGTTAGCATCTCAGAACACATGTGTCTGTGATACTGGAAGACTAATAATAAATACCTATGTTAGAAAGTTTAGAAAATGAAAAAGATTTTTCTATATCCCAAAATGTCAGGTGACTTCCTAGATCTAAAAAGCACCTGCAGTTCACAGGCCTAACAGCCAAGAGGTACTAATCCAGAAAACATGCGCCACAGTCACAGGGCTTCTTCCCTGCAGCCATCAGGTTTTCCCAGTAGCTTCAACCACTTCTAAAAAATCACTACTCTCTCATAGAGTTCATAAAATCCAGCTTTTTCTTATCCCCAAGAATATTCTCCTTGTCAATGCATTCATAATAAAAAGGAAAAACACTATTAAGAGTAATCAAGAGGACTTTCTTTAGATATATTTAACAATCTGGTGAGTTGGCCAGAGGAAACCAGCATAAAAGAGTAGCTTTTATCTAATCCAAAATGTAAAAAAATATAATTTATGAAACATATAGATAATCAGCTTCTCAACTCCTGATCTGGCCTTTCAAAATATCAAACACTGATAAAAACAAACAAAAAATGTTAAAAGAATTTCTGAGAAAACAGGATGGTACAGATTTCTAACAAACCACTTATATGTCATATTTATTACAGTAAACCACATCTAAAAGTTATTACCAACATGTATGCAATTTTTAAATCCAAAAGACATTTCACATTATGCTATAAAAACTTTATAAACAAACTTCTAAATAGAGTAAGTGGTAAAAAGTAGCAGGAATCTCTTGACCTGATTTTCAAGGAAACTAATAAGCTTCAAAAAAGGGGGAACATATTTTCTAATATTATTCATCTTTCATGTATAAATAAATTGTTCTATGGGTAAAAGTAAAAAATTTAACAAACTACAAAATGAAGAATGATGATCCCCCAAAAACAGATGAATCTACAAGGAAAAGTAAGGGCTGAAGGCACAGCCAAATCCTCATGTCCAGAAGCCATCCAAGGCCACTTTCTCCAACCAAAGGGAAGGAACATTGGGATATAAAAGTAGGAGAAAGCCAGAAGCATGTGAATTCACAAAAGAGAAACAGTGTGTTAGTAAAAATAGGACATTTCAGAATGTTAACAGCCAGAATAATCCCTCAACAGTCCACTCAATTTAAAATATTTATTTTGAGCTGAAACCGGTTTGGCTCAGTGGATGGAGCGTCGGCCTGCGGACTGAAAGGTCCCAGGTTCGATTCCGGTCAAGGGCATGTACCTGGGTTGCAGGCACATCCCCAGTAGGAGATGTGCAGGAGGCAGCTGATCGATGTTTCTCTCTCATCGATGTTTCTGACTCTCTCTCTCCCCCTTCCTCTCTGTAAAAAATCAATAAAATATATTTTAAAAAATAAAATAAAATATCTATTTTGATAGCTGTCCAGCAAGATAAAGAGTATAAACACTGACAAGTTGGGTAAACAATTGCCTTGTACAAATCAAAAACCCAAAGTTTATCATTAAGTGCTGTACTGCTGGGCAGGGACAGGGTTGTAATTATTAGGTTCTTTTCTAATTTTTTTATAAATGCTGACTTGCACTGAACTCTGTTATACTTTTACAAATAAAAGCAGGTCTATTAATATACATTTCTTCTATATTTCACTCAAACTGCAGATGCTTTACAACATTACACATAAGAAAGTAAAGTATGAATTACTGGCTTCTATATTATGCATTACATGATATATAACATAATAGTCTCTTGAATGTTTCTCACCTTCAAAATATTTGTTCCATTAACATTAATTAGCTTGAAATAAATCTGAAAATGCCCTAGCCCAATTTAAATCTTTAACATTTTAAATAAAAACAAAACTCTCTAATTTTTTTTTTTTTAATGGTGCAGTTTGGAGGGAGGATTAATTCCAAGTTGAAACATGCTTACCTGTATTATTGGTTGAGTAATATATGGGTCAAGGTAAGGCATCAGTTTACAATACACATCAGCTGTGTTTATCTGATGAGCTACCACTGTGATAAATCCCACAGCACCATAGCGTATCCATAGATTGGGATGACACAGAAATGGGGCTAAAGGAGAAAAACAACATATAGCTTAAACAATGTTCATATATAGTTTCAAACTATCAGGATAAATAAATTTTCACCTTATAACACAACTGATGATAAAGATTATACAACACGTTACTATCAGGTGCCCTCACATATTCAATTATCCTGAGGCGTAAACTCAACCAAGTGAACATACTGATATAATATTCCCTATCATAAAACTCAGCAATACCATAAAAGAATAAAAACAGCTACCTCCTGCCCTAGCCAGTTTTGCTCAGTGATTAGAGCGTTGGCTCACAGACTCAAGGGTCCCAGGTTCGATTTCAGTCAAGAGCATATACTTCAGTTGCAGGCTCGATAACTGGCCATAGTCGGGGTGCATGCGGGAGGCAACCAATTGATGTCTCTCTCTCATATTGATATTTTTCTCTTTCTGTCTCTTCCTCTCTCTTCCACTCTCCCTAAAAATCAATAGGAAAAAAAAATCCTTGAGTGAGGATTAACAACAACAAAAAACAGCTACCTCCTTTCTGAGAACTTAAATTTATAGTTTTTAGTCAGGCCTGAAGATGGGTGGGCATCTACTCATTTAAAAGACTGGATGAGAAACTATTAGAGACATAAAAAGTCTCAACACTATACAGCAAACTATTAATCCCCCCTCCCATTTCCCCGAGGAAGTCCAAGGACACATCATCTACCACATGAGCAAGGAAAGGAATAAGCCATCTCTTCTCCAAGTCATAGCATTACGATTAAGGAAACAATTACACCTGACATTCTTTTTAATGTAAAGATTTGATCAAATCTAATATATTGCAAGGCATTATAAATGAAAACTACAAGGCAGAGAACATAATGCCCCTTCTTAAAGAGTTTAAAATAGAAGATTAAACCAGAAAATTAAATGAATGCCTTTTCATCCCTTTTAACTATTTTGTGTACTACACCAAAAATCAGTGATTTCAACTAAATGAAGATTTAGAATAAAATCCAAACCTCTAAAAACAAAAATTGTATTAGGTCTGATCATGCAAAAACATCAGCATTTAGAGCAGGGGTGGGTAATGTCTGGCCCTGCCAAGGCATTAGGGGTGAGTTAATTAAATGTTTGACCAAATATAGCAGGCTAATTTTTAAGTTGATAATTTTGTATGGTCTGCAAATGACATTATAAATATCCAAATGGTTCTTGGCAGAAAAAAGTGCCCCTACCCTGATTTAGAGGATATTAGTTTTGGCCCTGGCTGGGTAGCTCAGTTGGTTAGAGCATCATCCCTATAGACCAAGGTTACAGGTTCAATCCCCAGGCAGGGCATATACAAGAAAGAATCAACCAATGAATGCATAAATAAGTGGAACAACAAATGAGTGTTTCTCTCTTGCTTTCTCTAATTAATAAATTTAATTGGAAATTAAATAAAAGTATCTAGAAAATATTAACTTTATACGAAATTCATGCCAATAGAAAAATAAGAACAATGTCATGTGCTAATAATACTTATAGCATAAAAAAGGGAAGTAGAAATAATTTGTTCAAAATATGTCTCCAACATTCTCCCATTCCAATTCTTTTGACTGCACATGGAGGTTTTAATTATTTCGTAAACATCCTGCAGCCTCTGATACATCCAACAAGGGAGGACTGGTAATTTCCCTTTGACAACAGGGAAAATCAGGACTGGAAAAACACTGAAAAACCTCCAAAACATAACTAAGCCCAAAATGACTCGGCAGGAGTTGGGCACTGTGTGAGGTGGAATTATTGGTCCCAATTCTTTACATTATCTGTATTATACAACCATACTCTTGCCTTGTATTCATGCTCCTGGCTCAGTCTTATTACCTGCTCTGGCCAATGGGATGTTAACACAGAGGCTTGAAAAGCTAGGCTTGCTTCCTTGTACCTCTGCCATCACCCAAAACATAACCCCAGAATGAGACAGATGGATCACAGTCACCACAGTCTGGAGATACAAAGCCAAAAGCATACAGCTTACAGATGCATAATGAGAAATTTACTAAAGCGTTTACTGAGATTTTGTGGTTAATTGCTATATAGCATTATTGTATCAATTAGTAGCTAATAGATACAAAGAACCTTCAACACTCAAAAAAACAAACACACCAAGAAACCAGAATCAAGAGGATTTCCTAAAAAAAAGTGTACTCAATCTTTTCTCTACCCAACGCATTTCAATTCTCAGGGTACAAGCATCGGGGAAGGTGAGTATTCAGAATATCTAAGTGGAAAGAGTACAGTTTTTGAAAGAGATACCAAAGATATCAGGATAATCGCCATCACCACCATCACCAGCACCACTGCTCCCTTTAAGAATCACTACCAAAGACTGACTATGCTAACAGAGGCCTGTGTGCACTTTATCACTTTTTAAAATAGGTGTTTCTAAATTACAAAAATCTGCCATTTCTTTTAAATAGTTTAAAATGACAACAAATGATTGTTTACTTAAATTTTCTCAGCAAGTTTTCTTTTTCCCCTTAGCTGGTCCTAAATTTAGTTCATTCTGAGGGAGTTCCCCATCCAAGAAGCTGTACCACTACACTGGATTTATTCTATACCTAAAGATAATTTGTTTTTATGCTAAATTAAAGATACATATGTACTCCATGTGTCCATCCTGTGATCAATGACTAGAAATAACAGGGCCCAAAAAAACCTCTATAAAATTGAAGAGGAGGGTAAAAAACTGTCTTTATGATGTTTTTGTTTAAAAATTGATAGACATTCATTTTTCAGATAAATAAAATGCCAATTATAAGCTACATTATATGTCAAAAATAATTTCCAAATAATTAATCAACAGAAGAAATGTATTTATGTGAAATCAGAATATACTAGAGTACAAATTTATATACAGAAGATATTAATTAAAATAAAGAGAATCAAAGGCAAAAGCAAGAAAAACTTGATCTTTGGGAAATAATGCCACTCTTACAGGAGAAAAAAAGAAAGCACTGATATGAGAATTTAAAAATGAGAACGAGCAGGAAAATATTCCAGGCCGCAAGATGTGCATGTTCACACAATACATCTTCTCAATAATACAGGTTGCCAAAAAAACATGTATACACACTTTAATAGCTGATAGCTCAATTGATGTTTCTTTCTTTTCAGCCAAACTAAGCTTTGAACAAAGGAAATTCATCCTAAAAGGCTACTGGAAATTTGAAAACACAATTTAAATACAAACAACGCCTTTATAATTATTCAAAGTGTATATACATTTTGGGGGACAGGTAACAAAAAATTATTCATTTCTATGGATTCTTTTAAATTTTGAAAATGAACAGTATGTTAATAAAGACTGACTTTAAAATCATTCAAAGTGTGTAGACATGTTTGGGGGGACACCCTATATCATGAAAATGCATGCTTTCAATATCTGCCTTACAATACACAGGACCAGAAATTCAAAATCATTTGTTTTATTATAATATTAATAATTTTTATTCTGCTATTAGTATTTTATAACATTTTTTCATTGATTTCAGAGAGGAAGGGAGAGGGAGAGAGAGACAGAAACATCAATGATAAGAGAGAACCATCAATCATCTGCCTCCTGCATGCCCTACACAGGGGATCAAGCCCACAACCCAGGCACTGAAGGGGAATCAAACTGTGACCTCCCGGTTCATAGGTCAACACTCAACCATGGAGCCAAGCCAGCCAGGCTAGTTTTGTTGTTGTTTTTTTTAAATAGAGATAATGAACCCCTTAAGGTTCAACACTCTGTAGCTCATATGAAAAATCAAAAATATTTCAATGTAATGGAGATTTTATTGTATTGCCAATACTCAACAATTTTCTATTAAATTTGGAATTATTTTTAACATAATCATCAAAAAATTCAAACCAAATTATAGTTACAAACTAAAAGAATGATTGAAGATATTAGAGAATAAAATAAGCAACCTACATATACTTTTTCACACAAAATTATTTAAAGCCACATTCACGCCTTAAAAATCTCCAGAAATTTTATATATCTTTACTAGCTACCATCTAGTTTCCCAACAATAAAAATAAATAACTCATTTGTCTTTTTCCTCTGAGGAGTTCCTCAAAAAAAAAACAAAAAAAAACCCACCTATTAACCAAGTCTAACCAATTTTGGTTTTCTATTAATTTTCCTTGGCAAGGCATTTACAGCAATTAAATATTTTATCTAGAGGCAAAATAGTCTAAGATTTTATGTCCTCTCTGGATAGAGCCAATCTGCAATCTTATTTTGATTATTTTCTTCAAGAGAAGTGATAAGAAGACTAAAAGCTTCATATAGTCTTAATTTTAGAGTGTGTCATTTGACTTGTTTGCACTTATTCTGAATTTTAAGTTGAGGTAAATAGGTAATTGCTGTAAAGGTCAAGGGTTAGTCCCTTTCACTGGTTAATAAAATTATCAACAGTAGAAACTTCAATACTAAGAATTCTTTTTTTTTAATATATTTTTTATTGATTAAGATATTACATATGTGTCCCTGTCCCCACATCACCCTCCAACCCCCCCCCACCC